TCGTTCTTAGTTAGCAGCTTGGGTGTTAAAAACCTCATTGTTCTAAGAAGGGAAAATGCTCACAACAGATAAAAGTTGACCAGCAGCCCCGTCTCCATGTGAATCTCTGAGTGAGGGGATCAGGGACTGCCTCTATCATGAACTCAGTTGACTGCTCTTTGATCACTTGCCCCTGGAGATGCAGCCTTGCCAGGCTACAGAGGAAGAGGATACAAGTAGTCCTGATGAGCCTTAACAAGCTATGGGCAGATGGCAATAGTGGAGAACTCCCCCTTTCAGTGGACTAGGGGAAGGGGATAAGGGGAAGAGGGAGAGAGGGTGGGACTGGGGGACTTGAGGGAGGGGGCTTCAATTAGAATATGTAATGAATAAATTGGGAAGAAAAAATAAAAATAAAAATTTTTCTAAAAGTTGACTGAAATGGTCTTTAAATTTGAATTTTTTTAGGGACTTGATATTCTGAATACAGCCTGTATCAGAGTGATCTCTGCACTTGGCCCTCAGCCTGTGTGCAGCCAGGCACTGGGGGGCGGGCAGGATTTCTTCTGCAGTGACAGCTTTTCTCTCTCCAGCTTTGCTACAGGGAAGGAGGACGAGGTGGGGGAACAGCAGCACCACCTGATTAACAGCCAAGGAGATCCCACCTGTGATGGGTTGGCTCAGACCACACCTGTTGACACTGCGTCCCCATTACCTCCATGAGAACAAGGACAGGAGAGGGTGAGCCCTCCCTCAGACCAAGCACATCCCAACCCAGCTCTACTCTATGAAAACAAACCGCATTTTATGCTAATTCTCAAAGAAGCTTTATTAGGCTTCCTTTTGATGAAGTCACGGGCCCATGTCTTCAGAACTGGAATCCAGCCAAAGTGATAACAAAGATTACTGTGGTAATCACACATGCCATTTGCCCCCTCTGCTGAATTGGAGCATCTGGTCCTGGCCTTGTTTCTCCAACTCAGTTCTTCATTCCATCTCTGGTCTATTGTTCCCAGTAGATCCAAGGACACTTTTGATGAGAAGGGCTCCTCTTTTTCCTCCCCTTCCTCTAGCTTCTAAGATGGCTTCCCAGCAAGGGATTTTCCTATTCACACCAGTGTGGAATGGAATCTATCCTCACTGTGACATTTCCTCAGGCTCTTCCTCAGGACCAGCTCTTCCTCTCCCACAGAAGAAAGTAGAAGTGACTTTCCTTTAGTATAAATCTCACCTTCAAATGAAACTAAAACGGAACTTGACAGCATCTGACCTCTCTTCAGAAGCAATTGGACTCCTCTCCCATTTTCATTGAGTAAATTCAGTCACAGATGGTTTTATATTCTTGCTGATGGTCAAGCTAAGGGAGTTACAATTGTTAGGATGGCAACTGAGAAATGAAGATGATTTAAATATGAATTTCATAAGTAGTTTATTTTATTTTAGATAGTGTAACCATTATGTTTGATTATCTAAGCCACTTATATAAACAATAGGGGTGTCTGTGTATGTTTTGATTTCAAAGGATGTATCTTTATGCCATGAAATGTACTTAGTATGTTGTAGGAAAATGTGAATTAACTCTGCACTCATTTAAATTTTAATTAATTTTTTTTTTAAGAAAGGAAATCTAGAAAGGAAAAAGAAGAAGAAGAAGAAAAAATCAAACAAACAAAACCCTACCAGATGTGGTGGTACAAAATCTGGCCTTCTTTTTCATTTTCACTTGTGTATCTGTGTCCTTCCTAACCTGTGCCTGCCTGGGAAGCAGCCTGGACACCCTCACTCCTGTTGGGCAGTGGGCAGTTGATTTCTAGATCTCACTTGGCCTCCAAGAAACTACCTCTAACCCTTCCTCCAGGAGTAGATGTAGCCTTAATCAGACTAAAATGATATCTTACCTGTGGGATATTTCTTAAACCCATAACTCCAATCTCATCATGAGAAACACCATACATATAAAAATAACTAAAATAAAAATTCAGCTCTTGAAGTTGAAAGAAGGATGAGAGGGGTTCTGTATGAAGAAAGAGAAATAGAGTGGATATAATCTAAATACAATGACTTTATGTATGAATTTGCCAAAAAGTAACAAAAACGAAAAAAAAACATCTCTTTTAAAAGTGATTGTGATCTTAAACATTCTATTTTTGTGTAATTTTTAGTAATTCTCTCTCCTTAAGAATAGTTGTGACGAGAAAAGAATTTCTCAAATAATTATTTTTTTTTATTTCAAAGGCTTTTATAAAGCTAGTAAAAATCTATACATTGTGACCAAAAGACTCTGAAGTACTGTGACATGTAACGTGTACTATATTATTATGGAACTGTCAAATGGTAAAGCAATAATGATGATCATAAAACATGTTCTGTCTTCACAGCATGGAGTGAACAACTTGACCAACGCTGGTCTCTTTCCCAAAGAATTGTAATAGAACGTCACATCATAAAATTCAGTGTGTTTAGTGAGCTCAGATTTTCATTCGTGTTGAATTACACATCCCCTCCCTCCCAAATACAGCCTAGCCCTATGCCCCAGGGCTTTGGAATGTGACTCTGTTGGAAAGTAGGGTAATGGTATACACAGTTAGTTAAAATGAGGTCAGAGTGTGGTAGAGAGGACCCTTAGTTCAGCTTCACAGGGGTCCATACAATATGATGGCCATATGAAGCTCCAGAGATAAAGGGGAGAACCCCGTGGAGACAAAAGTGAGACTCGAGTGACACCACAGAATGCCAGGAGCCCTGGGAACCACAGAAACTGAAAACAGACTGGAGAGAGATTTCTCTTGAGCTTTTACAAAGGATTTCCCAGTTCACATCCTGATCTCAGACTTTTGCCTTCCAGAATTATGACACAATAAGTTTCTGGTAGTGTGTGGCATCCAATTTGCGGAATTTTGTTATGGTAGCCCTGGGAAACTAAAACAATACAGTTCCTCTTTGGTATCTATAGGGAACTGGATCCAAAAAATCCTCTGCGGTTGCCATGAGCCACAGATGCTCAAGCCTTTTATATAACCTGGTAGTATTGACAGATAACACACACATGCCCCCTGAATGCTTGAACGTATCTCCAGATTCCATATACTATTGAAAACCCATCTAAATGCTATGTAAATAAGTATTTAGAAACAATGTTTTGGGAAGAACGACAAGGGAAAGGTCTACACACTCTTAGTCCATACACACCCTCTACTACCAAATATTCAGGATACAGCAGTTTAGTCTCAAAATGTAAGGACTACAGATGTGTAAGTCTGACTGGATTGTGTCATTTATTAAGGGAACTACATCTATTTTTCTCTATACTTAGAGTCTAAGAAAGTGGGGACAACTATTGTACTATCCTTCTGTGGCTCCTGAGCAGACCCGGACCCTATATACAGTATGGGAGCTGTTTGAAACATACCATGTCCTATTGGAAAACAAAGACTTATGTTGTACTTATAGGAAATTCTCAGATGCTCCGACTGGTCAGTGGAACATATAGTAAAAAGCAAAACTTTGGGTAATAAGAAGGGATCCATTTGATACCACTTTATTATTATATATGTAATTTACATACATGTATAATCCAGAGGATGATATTGACTATATCTCTCTATCATTCTCTGCTTTATTTCCTTGAAACAGCACCTTTGAATCAGAAGTGTAGATTTTTGGTATCTATCTCTTACCCTCAGTGATGAGGTTATGGGCTTGAACGTCAATGATCAGCATCTTACACGAAAACTGGAGATTTGAACTCAGGTTTTAATGCTTGCACAGTGTATGCTCTTACCCATTCAGCTTATTTCTAAAGTGCAGGTGTCCAGTGTGACATAGAAGCAAAGCTTGGATCCCTGAACTCCAGCCTTCTCTCTCACTCATACTCTGAGCTCACATGCTGCAGGCAACGATAGCTATTTCACAAGAAGGGCTCTCACATACCCCTCCTCTCCTGGGGCAAAAAGGGCTGTCATAGTTCCCCTGAGACCCTATCAACACTGCTCAGTCTCCACGAATTCTGACTCATCTGTGGGTGACAAAGGTGCCTTCTGTGCTACATTCACATTATGTGTGGTCTATAAAGAAGTCAATATGTAAGGACGATGTTGTAAGTCTAAATGTTGGTGGGGCCGGCAAGATGGCTCAGTGAGTAAGGGCATTTACTGTCAAGCCTGGTGACCTGTGTTTGACACCTGGGATCCACGTGCTGGAAGGAGAGAACAATAGCCTAAAATTTGTCCTCTAACCTTTACATACATGATGTATCACACATACCAGCCAGCATACACAAAATAAACAAGTAAGAGCTAATATTGAGGTAGGGTTTGTTTTTTTTTTTTTTAAGAAAAAAGTAAATATACAACTGGCAACAAACCCTGAGGCTCAAGCATTACGTTTGTTTTCTCCTCTTCTGCAAGCATTATGTGTGCTTCTAGTGGTTTTTGTAAACTGTGTTTTCTTGACGGCCTGTTTTAGTGAGTACCAGTGCAGTATGAAGAGAAGCCTGATCTTTAAGTTGTGCTTCATTCTAAGCTAAAGCTTTGTGAGTGGGACAGTCTCACAGATGACTTCAAGAGCAGCTCTTCTCGCTCACTCTGGCTGCTGTTCTGGAGAAAGAATTTAGGGAGCACAAGACAGATTAGGAGGCTATAGTCTAAGCGCAGAACTATGGTGTCTGGGCCAGCCAGAGTTAGTAGACATTAGAAATGCAAGACCCAAGATGATTGTTTGGAAGTGGAATATGCAAACTAACTAATAGTTAGATGGAGTGGGGAGCACTTGGGCAGCCAGAAAGTCAGACATTCAGCTGTAGCTCAGCATTGGTGAGGGGTCCGTAGGGTTCCCTGGGGGAGCTGTAGAGCAAGCAGCAAGTTCTGTTAGAGCTCTAGAACTCTATGAAATGGTTAGGGTCGGAGCAAGGGATTTGAGGTCAGCTATGCACATTGCATGGAACTATGTGTTTAGTGCTATAATTATGTTTTAGTAGTGGAAATTACAGAGTCTTTTTTTCTTTCTTTCTTTTTGGTTTTTAGAAATATTCCCAAGAGACTTGACCTTGAAAGACAAATTTATAAAGCATTTCACAGGTAAGCATATGCTATTTCAGGGATTAAGTTACCAAAGGGTTTCAAGGGTTTTATACAGAATGCAGTCTTAAACAACAAAGCTGTGAAGATTAATGTCTAGAAGAGCCTTGTAGTTCAACTGGGTTTTCAGTCAACTGCTATTAACTTGTTTGAACTTTAATGTGCACTAGAACTTAATATGCAATAAAATATAACTGATATTTTAGAGAAAAAAATAGGGAGAATGATTTACCAAGAAACTGTCTGTCTTAGGATTTCATTGCTGTGAAGAGACACCATGACCAAGGCAACTCTTCTAAAGAAAAACATTTTAATTGGAGCCCGCTTACAGTTTCAGAAGTTTAGTCCATTATCATCATGGTGGGAATCATGAATGTGTAAAGGCAGACATGGTGCTGGCAGCAGAAAAATGTGTAAATGGTGGGAATCATGAATGTGTAAAGGCAGACATGGTATGCAGGCAGCAGAAAAAGACTATGAGCCACACTGAGCATAGCTTGAACGTGGAAGACCTCAAAGCCTGCTTCCACAATGACACTTCCTCCAACAAGGCCAACCAAGTACCACTCCCTATGGGCCAAGCACTCAAATGAGCCCACGTGCGCCATTCCTATTCAAAACATCACATTCCACTCCCTGGCCCCAACAAGCTTGTAGCCATAACATAATGCAAAATGCATTTAGTCCAGTTTCAAAAGTTCCCACACTCTATCACAGTCTCCACAATATTTAAAAGTCCAAAGTTCAAGGTCTCTTCTGAGATTCCTGCAATCTCTTAACACTAATCCCCTACAAAATCAAAATCAAAAACCAGATCACATACTTTCAACATATCATGGCCCAGGATATACATTACTGTTCTAAAACATAAGGAAGGGCGCAGAGTGAGGAAATGCTGGACCGAACCAAGACCAAAAACCAACTGAGCAAACCCCAAACTCTGCATCTCCATGTCTGAGGTCAAAATTCTCTTCAGGTCTCCAACTCCTTTCAGCTTTGTTGGCTGAAACACACTTCTTTCTCTTGAGCTGGTTCCACTCCCTGTTAGCAGCTTTCCTCAGCAGGTGTCCCAAGGCTCTGGCATCTCTAACCTCTTGGGGTCTCCAAGGCAGTCCAGCTTTACTTCCACAGCCTCACACAATGGCCTCTCTGAAGCTCCATGCAAGGAGCTCTGACACCCCTGACACATGCCCTACCTCGGTCTATGAGACTATTCAAACCACCACATCATCTGAGAAGGCTTGCACTAAGATGTGCTTTAAAGGAAGACAGTACGGTCACGAGGAACCTACCGAGCCAGCCTGTAGTATATAGCCTGGGAGAAGACAGGCAGATGGCGTGGATGGACCGGGGATGAAGGATGAACGTAGAAAGGGCTGCATTTGGCGGGGGAACTGGAAAGGTGTGTGGACAAATCAGATGGCCAACAGTCTTCCAGGGCACACTGAAGGGTTTAGACTGCTTCAGCCAAGGCAGCCTTGAGCTTCTATAAACTGGAGACAGAGGAGCACACGTCACTCCCCATCTCGATGCTTTGTTTGTTTATGAGGTTGTAGTTTAATTATAACATTTCCCCCTTTCCCTTGCTCCCTCCAAACTCTCTCATACACCCTTACCTACTCTCCTCCAAATAAATGGCCTCTTTTTTCATCAACTGTTATTGCACGCCTGGCTGTGTATACATATATATTCCTAAATGTAACTTGTATCTATATAAAGATAGGTGAATGCATGTGTTGGGGCTTATCATTTGGCACTGAACAACCGACTGGTGTGCTTCTCTCAGGGGAGGGCCACGTCTCTGCTCCCAGCTTTCCTCAGTTGCCTGTAGTTCTTTGTGTAGGCTTGAAACCTTGTGGCCACTTCCCCAGGCAGTTTGGCATATTTGTTGGTGTCCTCCTCGTTCAGCTCACATTTGCATGGCCATGTGGGTCAGACCTTATGGGTATAGCTTTGGATGTCACTGAGCAAAGTCTCATAGCAAAGTCCCTGATCCTCTGACTCTTACAATCTCCCCACCCCCTTTTCTGCAATGTTTCCTAAGCTTTCGGTATGGGAATGATTTGTAGATGTAGTATATGTCACTCATAAGAACAGATAGTGTCTTTTTTTTTTTTTTTTAAACTTCCACAGGGCTTTTCTGTTCTTTCTTTCTTTCTTTTTTTTTTTGCTCTTTTTCATATTTTTAATTTATTGCAATTTTTTTTCACTTTGTTTCCCAACTATAGTCCCCTCCCTTCTACCCTCCCAATTCCACCCTCCCTTTCTTTCTCCCTCTTCTCCTCCCCTGCCCCTCCCCTAGTCCACTGATACAGGAGGTCCTCCTCCCCTTCCAGGCCACAGAGGAAGACAATGCAGACAGTCCTGATGAGACCAGATAGAGTGTTTTATGACACAATTTTGTTCTTCATATTAACTTGTGAATCATTTTCAAGCAATTTATTGTCCAAGTTCTAGAATAACATAAGATTATTATGTTTATAATACATACACCATACAGTATGCATACATACTGCTATCCCTTCTCTGCAAATAAAAAATCTCAGTTGTCTTTTACTATTATACATCCCAGTCTTGTAATAGGAGAAAGACATGGTTTTCCTTATATATGTTAATCAATTCTGAAAGTTGTATTTGTTAATTAATATATTTAACTCACGTTTTTTTGTTGGTTTTGTTTTTTTCTGAGACAAGATGTCCTGTAACTAAGGCTGGCTTTGAAATCCTCATCCTCCTGTCTTCCCAGCCCAGGCCCTAGAATTACATCCCACTGTAACTACACCCAGCTGTTAACTTTCAAATGATATTTCTGACTATCATTCGGAGACACCTGCAGATGAGGAAGGCAGCACTGAGTTCTGGGAAACTGACTGTTGTCCAGGTGGAAGTAGAAATGTTTTGGGGCAGTTTCAAGGCTCTGTCCTCTTTGCAGTAATCCTTGCACTAATGAGCCCACATTGCTTCAATTAAAAACAAATATCATCACTAGAAACATTTCTTCCCATTAAGTAAAAACAACAACAACAACAAAAATCAAGAAACCAGAAAGTCACCCTGTCTTGGTTGGCTCTCTGCAGATTTTCCTTCAGTCTGGAGTGCCCCTTTTCAGTTGCTCCAGAGTTCTCCTAGTCAGAAGGTCCCATGATGGGGCATACTGAGAAAGTGGTGTGAACCTAGATCAAAGTTCAGTGCCTCCTGCAGAGTCTGGGTGAAGGCAGGAATTCTCAGGCCAACAGGGCAGGCAGGATGGAAACTACTGTTACACCATCTCCATCCATAGAGTGCTAGCAATTTGTTTGGCAAACACGCCGGTGTTTATAATAAGCATTCTTTCCCTTTCTCCAGGGCCTGTCACATTTTCAGCTGAATGCAGCAAACACTTCCATCGACTTTATCACAATACCAGGGATTGCTCCATGCCAGCCTGTAAGTTGCTTGGGCAAATTTTAGAAGAAACAAACTAACAAACGAACAACTTATCCAACAATAGATGCCTGTAGCTTCAAGTTTCAACTGTCTTTGGGTGGGACAGAACAGACTAAACGGTGCACGAGATGCTGTTTATGGCCTTTCGGTACGCAAAGCTGTGTGCACTGTTGAAACTATAAGGGATGAGAGATCATATTTCTAGTTGGGAATATTTCCAAATCTGAAAATAGCCAGATTTTCTGAAAGGCCAGAATGTTTGTCAGGACTGAAACCGTTTATCATTATTCAAATTCCTTGGTATAAATAAAGTACTTCCTCATACAAATGAAAAAAAGAAAAAGGGAGCTGACTATGAAGTGCAACTCAACGTCTCTTCCTAAGTTACTTTGAAAGAAATGTTTGTTGTTTTTTTTTTTTTATATCATGTCATTTGTACAGTGTGTGCTGGGTTTTTGTGAGCGATGAGAGCCTATTGTGCAATGAGCTCTTTTGAATGCTTAAGTTCCTGGAGTTAGTAATAATTCCAAACATAGCACTAAAGGGCTATCATTTAAAATCTCAGTTATGAGAATGTATGGTAGCTGAGTCACCTATTTCTAATTCGTTTCTAAATCTAAAAATTCCCATTAAAGTGAGTGACATTTAAGCATTTTGTTTCTTGTCAGCTAGATTACCTTGAGGAGTATTTAACTTTACTTAGGATGTTGAGTTAGATTTTTATATTTAAAAAATAAAAAATAAATAAAACTCACATTTAATGACTACTGAAAATTAAGTATACTAGAGCTTTTTTAGTTTGCTTCTCAGTTGCCATGATAGAACACCGACCAAGAGTGAGTTGGGAAAGAAAGCTTTATTTTAGCTTACACTTCCACATCACAGTTCATCATCAATGGAGCCAAGCTAGAAACCTCAAGGCCAGAAATGAATGAAGCAAAGGCCATGGAGGAACGCTGCTTACTAGCTTGTTCCTCATGGCTTCCTGCTTTCTTATATACCCCAGAACCACCTTCCCAGGGGTGACATCACCCCCAGTGGTCTGGTCCCTCCCACATCAATCATTAATTTAAAAAAAAAAATCTCCCACAGATTCACCTACAGGCCAATCTAATGGATGCAGACCCTCAACTAAGGTTTTCTCTTCTCAGATGACTCTAGTCTGTATCACTTTGACAAAAACGAACAAACAAACAAGACACAACTAGCCAGCCAAAGATTCAAGGCAAAGACGGTAGACAACAGCATAGTTTGGTGGAGAAAAGGCAGTTTTGGGAACTAAACTACTTAGTTGCTATGAGATAGGTCACATTTGAAGCTTTTGAGTCATCTCTAAAGTGAAGGAGTTAAATTTTTATGTTGTCAGAGCAACAGAGAACAAAATCCGTGGTAAGCACCTAATATGCTGGGTGCTTTTAAAACTATGATTGTTACATGAATCAATAACAAGAACACTATTTCTTTCACAGTCATAGCAATTAACTACATGTATCGTTACCTTTAAATGTTTTTCCTAGATTATAAAAGATGTGCTAGATTGCTGACGAGGTTAGCTGTGAGTCCACTGTGCTCCCAGACCTAGGAAATTAGTGCTGTGAGTATCTATCTATCTATCTATCTATCTATCTATCTATCTATCTATCTGCTTTTTTTTTTTTTCAGTTTTGAGACAGGGTTTCTCTGTGTAGCCTTGGCTGTCCTGTACTCACTTTGTAGACCAGGCTGGCCTCAAACCCAAAGAGATTTGCCTGCCTCTGCCTCCCTGAGTGCTGGGATTACAGGCATGCACTACCGTGCCAGGCTTGTTTATTAATCTTATCCTAAGAATTTATTTCTGTTTCCCATTTCCTTTTATTCCACTCACCTCCCCCCTCTCCACGGTAGTGAGGATCAAGTGCAGGGTTTGCACGCAGGAGGCGACTGTTCTATCACTGACTTATACCACCAGCCCTGAGTTTATCTTAAGAAAAATTTGTCTGTAAGCCCAAATTCCAAATTCTGGCACTCAAGAAATTAAGTCAAGAGAGTCTGAGGGTGACCTGCATCCCAAGTGAGACCCTGTCTCAAAAACTAATAACTTTAACAAATAAAACAATTAAGGAGAGAAAGAATTAGAAGAGTCCAAGAACTGGGAAGCTAATTTTAGCACAACATTTGCTGAACTAATGGATTTTTTACTCTGGTCCTAACTCGGCTGCTGAGTTAACTTACAATGTCTTCCAGGCAGTTACATTAAGCAAGGCCATTTTTCTCAAAGCCTTACCAGCCCTTAGTGACTAAAAGACTCCAACAGTTTTCACTCTTGATTTATTATTGCGCAGAAGCATTGCACAGATACACAGGTGAACAACTGTTATCAAGTCTACCTTACATGGTCAAATATATAATGGAGAAAAAAGCAAGCTATAAAACTTCAATTTATATAATACACATAAAAAAAAAAAGGGAGGATGTTGGCAAAGTGGGAGAACAATTAGGTGGGCATGGCAGTGCATGCTATAATCCCAGCACTTGAGAAGCAGAGGCAAGATTGAGTTCAAGGCCAGCCTGGACAATATAGTGAAAGCTGGTCTCAAAAAACAAAACAAAACAAAACAAAAAAAAAATCACAATTAAAAACACAAGGAAGATGAAATGATAAAATAACCATGTACTCTAGCCCATTACCTGGCAAAGAGAAATGCTAAACTCAAAGTTGTATTCTGGATCAATTATTTTAGGAAACCAAGGGAAGAAAATTCCATTTGTACAATCATAACAGCCCAATATGAATTATAATTATTTTAAAATATTTATTTATTTTTATGTGCACTGATCATTTGCCTAGATATAGGTCTGTGTGAGGGTGCCAGGCTCTCTGAAACTGAAGTTATAGACAGTTATGAGTTGTCATGCAGGTGCTGGGAATTGAACCTGGGTCCTCTGGAAAAACAACCAATACTCTTAGTCATCTCTCCAGCCTGCATAAGTTATGATACTGGTTTACAAATAAAGACATACTTGAAACACTGAAAAATGCTAGTATTTTTCCTGCATGATTGTTTCTAAAATATATTTTATGTCCATGAAAATGTATATGAAATTCTTAAATTAATTGCATTAAAATAATTGGGTTTGTTCTTCTCCCAACATTTATTGTATTGTCATTTAAAACATGGGGCTTGGGATGTAGTTTAATGATAGAGCATGTATTTGTGTGGGTGCCTGTGTCAGGTCCTGAATCCAATACTATGTATCACTCAAAAATAAAGGTTATATAATATTGTACATAAACTACATTTGCCTGGAACTTTTTAAAATTGTAGAGTTTAAATATGACACCTTGTCTCAAAAAATCAAGACTAAAACAATTTTGAGGTCCAGTGATTTCTTTTGTAATAGTCTGTGTAAATATAGTCTCAGACTATTATATATTTGAGATTTCATTTACTTTTATTTCATGTGTAAGGGTTTTTTGCCCATGTGTATGCCTGGGGCTGGAGATGTGAGCCACCATGTGGGTTGAGCATGAAGAGCCAGTACTTTTAGCTTATGAACCAGCCCTGTTTTAGATTCTTTATCAAGAGATGATAATCACTACATTTCCGTTTAATATGTTTCAGGAACATTTTCTGAGTTACTTGTTGACTGTCAAATGGAAGATGACCATTTTCCTTCTGTGTAAAATCCTCTCCTCTCTGTCAGCACACCAGCATGCTTTCCTGGGGTTGCATTTCAAGAAACATAATATAAAATGTAACTACTAAAAGTATTAAAATAGGGGGGCTGGAGACACGGCTCGGCAGTTAACTGGCTCTGGCTGATATTGAAGAGGACCTGGGTGACATTACTCACATGGCAGCTCACAATGTAACTCCTGCTCCAGGGGATCCGTCACCCTCACACAGACATACATGCAGTCAAGATACCAATGTACATAAAGTAAAAATAAATAAATTATTTTTTTAAAGTATTAAAATATCTTATGTGCTTTGAAAACCAGGTTGTTACTAATTTTATTCTCTCTTCCACTTCAGGCATTTCATAAGATGCAAATATAATTTGAAGAAAAACTTCCTGGAATCATATTTAATGTAAAAAAAATGGAAATATTTAGTTTCTTACGAACCTGCGTGAAGTAACTTCCCAGGAGAAACCTATGAGCAGTGTCCTGCAGAAGGATGGAGGCTTTCTTGGCTTACCTTTACGTACTCAAAAAGCTATCGTATTTTTTAAAAACAAACTTTAAATCACATATTGTAAATAGAATATTTAAAACTGTGCCTTATTTTTTTCTAGGGATATTATTTTTATATGGTTAACATTGCACAGTAAATATTTAATTATACAAATTATGTCTCAGTACCAGTGAAAACATAACTTTATTGTATATAAGTTTAGGGATATGTTGGCCAGATATTTGTGTACTGTGTTCTGTTTTTGTAATTCTTATTTAATATTTAAAAGCCTTTATTAGTAATTTGTTTCCTTTATTTGCAATAATTTGAACTGTGAAATTTTGTTGTTGTTGAACATTCAGACTTGTCAGAAATATTAAAGAATCCTATTGGAGTAATACAAAACATTTACAAAGTAATCTTATTGTCCTTTGTAAGAGTTCTGGAAGGTGAATAGCAAACTCATATCAAAGAATGAAATTCCAACTGATCATATTCCTCACACTGCTTCTTCTGTTCTTCAGATTTTCTATGGACCATTTCATCCTATCCTGAGTGACAATGTCCGTTTTCCCCATGTCTACCAGATAGCACACAAGGATACATACTTGCCCCATGCCATGGTCTTTTTGATGCTTCATTTTACACGGACCTGGACAGGGCTTGTCATCTCAGATGACGACCAGGGAATTCAGTTTCTTTCAGACTTGAGAGAAGAGATGCAAAGTAATGGAGTTTGTTTAGCTTTTGTGAATGTGATCCCAGATAGCATGTAGTTACACATGACAAGTGCTGTCATATATGGTGAACAAATCGTGACATCAACTGCAAATGTTATCATTTATGGTGAAATGTACTCTACCCTGGAAGCCAGCTTCAGAAGATGAGTATATTTAGGTGTACAGAGAATCTGAGTCACCACCTCACAATGGGATGTCATCACAAGTAAGAAAGGTTTCAGCCCTGACCCCTTCCATGGAGCTATCACTTTTGTACATCACCATGTTGCTATTTCTAAATTTAGGAATTTTATGCAAACAATGAACACTTCCAAATATACAGTAGACATTTCTCAGAAGATCAGATCTCATGGTTTTGCTGTCTTAAATAGAATAAAATCCTGGTGCTTGTGGACAGCGGATATGTGTGTCAGGGACTGAGATGATTATGTGTTTTTTGGACTCTTTCTTTGAACAACAACAAAAACAAAAAATCATACTTGGATGCATTCAATTACCTTCAGTTAATTACCAGAAAAACCCATGACAAAGCATGTGAAAAGCCCTATCCTTTCAAAGCACAGGCAAAACATAAGTTTCTTTTTTTTTTTTTAATTTTATTTTTTTCTTATCAGTTACATTTTATTAACTCTGTGTCCCAGCTGTGTCCCGATCCCTCATTCCCTCCCAGTCCCTCCCTCCCTCCCTCATCTCCACCGTGCCCCTTGCCAAGTCCACTGATAGGGGGAACCTCCTCCCCATTCATCCGATCCTGTTTTATCAGGTATCTTCAGGACTGGCTACAAAGCTCTCCTCCGTGGCCTAACAGGACTGCTCCTCCCTTGGGGGGTGGGGAGGCCAAAGAGCCAGTCATTGAGTTCCTGTTAGAAATAGTCCTTGTTCCCCTCACTATGGGAAACCAATTGGTTACTGAGCTACCACACGCTACCTCTGAGCAGAGGTTCTAGGTTACATTCATACATGGTCCTTGGTTGAATGTCAGTCTCAGAAAAGACCCTGTGCCAAGATATATTTGGTCCTTGTGGAGCTCCTATCCTTTCCCCATCAGACTAACTCCCCTTCTTTCTTATGATTCCCTGTACTCTGCCAAAGGTTTGGTCATGAGTCTTTGCTTTGAAAACACTGCTAGTTAGAGTCTTTCCAATGCGCTCAGTTAGACTCCTGTTATACATTCAATGCATGTCTCATCTGTCTTTCTAAACGAGGATTGATCATCTTACCCCATGTCCGCTCTCTTGATTATCTTTTTTAGGTGTACAGATTTCATCATGTTTATCACATCTTATAGGTGTATATAAGTGAGTATATGCCGTGTTTGTCTTTCTCTGTCTGGGATATTTCACGCAGGATGATCTTTTCTAGATCCGACCATTTGCCTGCAAATTTCATGATTTCCTCCTTTTTGATTGCTGAGTAGTATTCCATTGTGTAAAAATACCACAATTTCTGTACCCATTCCTCCGTTGATGGACATCTGGGTTGTTTCCAGGTTCTGGCTATTACAAATAAAGCTGCTATAAACATGGTTGAGCAAATATCCCTTTTGTGTACTTGAGCAAACTTTGGGTATATACCTAGCAGTGGTATAGCTGGGTCTTGAGGAAGCACTATTCCTAATTGTCTTAGAAAGCGCCAGATAGATTTCCAGAGTGGTTGTACCAGTTTACATTCCCACCAGCAGTGGA